TATCATAGAGTTTTATAATTGTGTGCAAAATATTTTGATTTGTTTCAGAATTTCCGGAGGTATGGCGCACGTATTTACAGTTTAATAATTAACATAGTTAAGGTTGGATCATTTCTAATTTCTGGAATTAGAGAAGCTACTAAATACTAAGTTCAATGAGTTGCAATTCTTATTTCTGGAATTAAACGAAATACTAATTTCTATCACTGCAATTTTTAAAATTTACTATCATTTCTAGAATTATAAGAAGTATTTATTCCACTCATTGTAATTTTTAGAAATATTAAATTTTGAAGTTATAAGAAGTACTAATTCCTATCTCTGGAATTCTTAGAAATGCTAATTTATGGAATTATAAGAAGTACTAATATCTATGACTGGATTTTCAGAAATACTAATTTTTGAAATTCTTAGCTTAAGTATACGTAGCTCAATAAATCTAAATTAATTAGCATATTTAAGGTTGGATCATTAAGATTGAGTCGAGGAACGTAAAAACGTATCATTAGATCCAAAGTTATTAAAGTGTTCTCTTTTTATTTTGCGCAATAAATAAACGGCGTTGATCCCAACATAAAGTTTCTCTCTTTACTTCGCTCTAACGATTTTTACAAAATAATAATTTAGATGCTATTTCTAAAGCAGAATAATATTGTTACGTTTTGTTTAAAGGGGTCATAGTATGAGGAGAATTCTTGCTCCTTTAAAGCGCAATGAATTATCACAAAAAGTATTATTTTCGGGAATTCTTAGAAATATACCAATTTCTGCATTTTTATTTTCTATTTCTTAAAATCTTCGGATTCCTAATTTCTGGAATTAGAGAAACCATTTCTGAAATTCTTATAAATGTTAAGTTCAAGAATTGTAACTCCTGTTCCTGGAATTCTAACAAATACTAATCTCTATCACTGGAATTTTTAGAAAAATTATAATTTCTGAAATTATAACAAGCATCAATTCCTATTATTGGAATTTTTAGAAATATTAAATTATTGAAGTTATAAAAAGTACTAATTCCTATCACTGGAATTTCTAGAAATATTAAATTTTGGAATTATAAGAAGTACTAATTCCTATCACTAGAATTTTTAGAAATTTTAAATTGTGGAATTATAAGTATTAATTCCTATCACTGGAATTTTTAGAAATATTAAATTTCGGATAGTAAGTACTAATCCCTATCACTGGAATTATTAGATATACTAACTTTTGAAATTCTAATTACTATTTCCGGATTTCTCATAAATTCTAATTTCGATTTTTTGAATTCTCAGAAGTGGACAGGTTTGATGGATATTATTAGTTTATTTCCGAGACGCATAAAAAAAAAAAAAAGAGAACGATATTTCAGAATACGTAATATTGTGTGGATATAATGCACTATAAACAAATGCCATGATCGAAATTCAACAAATTTCTTTCATATTTTTTTTAAAAAAAGAAATAGTTTTATAATATGAAATGACAGGGATGGCAACGACTCTAAATGGGGTGAACATGGCGGATGATCTGGGAAAAGGACAAAACAAACGATACAAGTCACAAAAGAGAGAAAGGCGTTTCTAAAAATCCAGAGAAACAAGTCCTTAATAAGTTTGTTTACGGAGAAAGCGCGGGAAAAGTCAGAAATTTTGTCGACTTTTAATAATAATATATACGCGATGGCTGAAGACACAGCTGAGATGGAGTGTTATAATAATGAGAAAACGAACAAGAAAATGAAAAGGGCGGGAAAAGCTGTCACAAGGAGTTTCAAAGCAATAACAATAAGAGAAAAGAGTTGCTCTTGTAATTCATTATTGAGCAATATTCTGTCACAAATCTAAGCTTAAAAGGGTTAGAATGAGGGTGGAAGTAGGATATTGTGGGGGAGGGGGGACTGCCTAATCGAAGAAGCACAATACGCTCAATAAAGAACCGATTCTGGGATATTTTAATTAAAATGTCTTCGCAGAAGAAGACAAAGGGGTCTCTGGAGGAGGAATGCTTTATTTATGCCCCATTTCAGAACTAAATGCAGCGATTTGTGAAATAAATCGTTCGATTCAAACAGAATAGGGAAAAGATCGGTCATCTTTCTTAACTCAGAAATTTAGAATGAAAGAAAATTTTTATCAGCTTTAAATAAAATGAAAAACAACGAAGATGCAGTGCTTTCATAGGTTCTTATTGTTTAAAAGAGTTAAACAATCGAATGCTACTTACAAAGCTTTTAAATAATTTGAAAAATCTCGATTTAGTTTCTTTTCTCCCCTTTGAATATTAACCGAACATTTATTTGTCAAAAATGAAAAAGGTGTTTAACATCTGTTATATGCATATATATCGAAAAATGCATATTGCATTACTTCAACCGAATTCATTTTCTGTGATTATGTTAACGGCTGTCTAAGTTAATTTTGAACTACATTGTTCATAAATAAGGGCTATTTCCCGCAAATGTTACTTTTTTTTTCTTCTAATATTTTAAGTTCTGTAAAAGTATTTAACGGAGGCAGGTTGGTCATCAGATTTTAACAAGAAAATTCATTTCGAACTACACATTTTTTCGGACAAAATACAATATTGCAAATGCATAGCTGCCAAAATGGATAGAAAAAAATCCAGTAGATTTTACGAAATAATATAAATTTTATGATAACTGTTGCCTAAGTAACTAAATATTTTACATATAGGGAATTTTAGAGATTTTTATTGCTATCAAAATACAAAAACTTTATTACACTAATAACTATAAATGGTTTGCAATATTTCCCATTCTACAATATTTTTAAGCAATTTATGATTAAAATTGTACGAATTTGAAATGGTTTTTAATACGTTAACTCATAATTTCAAATAGTAGTAGACAAGTAAATCATTATTGATAATTAAAAGATTTTATAATTTGAAAAGGGAGTTCTGAATAAAAATACACTGAAATTTTTAGAACAAAGAAAAAGAAAATATATTTTTTAAACTGATTACTATAAGAGATGCTCTCTTCATTATGCATTGGTAATACTTATTTAAATATTCAATTAAGCAATAAATTGTGTAAAAATTCTATTCTAATAGGGATTTTTTCGAAAACTTACTCAATTTCACGGAATATTCTAAAATGTACAAAAACCAGGAGAATTTTTATTATACCAATAGACCAAGAAGGAATGGGAAAATCCAGTAGTCTACTGGTAAATCCAGTAGAGTTGACAGCACTGCAAATGTCATTATATACAATGCAAAATTTCGCTATATTAAAAAATTTTGCAATCTAGTAAAAATCAACGGCCATGTTTGAGTCTGAGAGATGCAAATCGCTTTTTTCTTTTCTCTCGATCGATATTAAAAAATTGTAAGCGTCGCTGCAATTGTTATGAGTATTCAGCTTAATGATATATTTTGCTTTGCTGCGCAAAAACTATTAAACTTGGAAACATACAATTATGAAGATGCGTAGAAAATGCACGGGGATTAAGATGAAATAAAAAGAATTAAGAATCGATTATTATTTCGAAAATTATCAACTGCTAAATTTGTAAAAATATCATGTGGACTGATCTACTGCTTGCTGATTGCAGTTCCTGAGTTGAAATTTTATGGGCTTAAAGGGTCAATTTTTAATTATGAACTCAAGCGAGTTTTTTTTTTTTTTCTTTCGAAATTCCAATTTTTTCGGAAGTTATTGTTATTTTAAATGCTTTTTCGCGTTTCCCCCTCCCACTTTTTTTGCTTTAAATAATGATTGTTGATTGTAAAAGAGAAAGTGAGCAATTAAATGTTTCCAGAAATAAATCAACATTTATATTGAGATTTTTTAAAATACCATAAAACTCAAGAGATATTTTTAATTCGAACTGTTATACAATAAAACGTTATCGTTACAGGTTATTAATATACAAAATTACTTCTCGTTAATTACTTTTTACAATGACACATTCCGCATTTTTAAATTTAAATACATTTTCTTTTCAAGGATAGATTACTTTTCAAATACAGAGGTATCCGCCTATTTCGTTATGATTATTTCGTACGATTACATGCGATTTCGCATGATAAAACATATTATTTTCATGGAAATAGGCTTCAATTACATTATTCATTAAAGACACAAAAGAAAAGTTTTGAGCAGGAAAAATAATACTTTATTTAAGAAATAAGATGGTGTGCAAATGCACCACTGACCAAATTCTATTAACAAATCCTTTAGTTGAACACTAGATTTTTTAATGACATTTGTTGTATTTTTATTTTATTTACAGAGCTTGCAACTTTAAATCTACCATAAAAACACCTGATTAATACTCAAGTGGAATAATTTCACATTTTTAAAAAGTCAAATTTCTCAATAGCCGTTTTAAGTCAAATAACTAGAGAAGTTTGAAAATTTCGCAACAGAAAGTGTTTACTCCAATTGAATTACTAATATTTTATGTTTTTAAAACCCTTAAAAATAGCAGAGAAATAAATTTAGTGAAAAATAAACGTCACAGTGTTAATAAAAAAAAAATATTTATAAAAGTGGTATGTTTTTGCACCTTAGGCCGAGAATGGGTTAATAAAATTATAATAATGATTCATTTTATAAACAAAATGAACTATTTTAGGAACAGGAACAACTACGACGGTTGGTGAGTGGAGTCTCCAAGTTGCTTTAAATATTGACTCTAAAATACTTCTTAATTCTCAAATTCAAATAAAATACATTATTTATTTTTACTATAAAACATGCATAATTTAAGTAATGTACTTAAAGATATCTAAAAACAATGTAATCCCTGTTTGGTTGTTAATTTTAATTACGATAATTTATATTCCTCATAAATACATTTGCATGGATTCTCAAGTCACATGCTAATCGTAGAAATGCTCTGGATTTTTAACTATGTAAAGCTAATTTTGTTAAAAAAATTCATTCATAACTCTACGTCAGTTATAATGAGATTACCCATAAATCTTAGTTAAGCGTGTGAACTTTTAGTATGAAAATTCAGATATAGCACCGTAAAATGACTTACCGTTCGAAGGTTAGAATCAAGTTTATGGGTTCCAGCAATAAGCTTTATCACATCTAATTTTCCGTGCTTGGCTGCATAATGTAATGCCGTCTGGAAATAAAACATTAATTTAATATACATAATTACGTTAACATAACGTTAAATTGTTATTGCAATAATTTCAGCAACAATATAATTGCAAAATAAATACATGAATGTTTCTTTTCACAATTGGGTACTTGCGGTGACTAGTCTGTTGTTACCTGTATATCCAAAGTGGGGGGAGGAGGTCGGGTGTAAAATTAACCTTTACAATTGGGTACTTGCACTTCAAGAAGATGATCATGATACTCACATATATATTACCCATGACGTCAGTGTCAGCTGATCATTTGTAAGTAAAATGGCACGTCAATGTTTTTCCACATGAGTTAGAACGTTAATTAACGTGAAATTAAATTAATTCAGCGTCGTATCAAGCATTGAATTTGTTTAAATATAATTAAATATAATTCTAAAAATAATAAATAATTAACAAATAATAATTCCTAGATTTATTATTTGTTTATGTATTTTATTGCAACACGTGGTATTTTTTAATTTTGCGTACTGGGCAACTTCGATGCATAATTAGTTTATGCTCGACATGGCTTCGTGCCAGTCTTTATATTAAATAAGAAATATATGGTGAAAGAATCCTTCTGAAGGATTATAGAATGTATCACTTAAGAGAAGAATAAAAACAATGAAAAATATGACAACCGAAGCTAACGTCATCAGGAGGTACCAGTCCCAGAAGTCATAAGTTCAAAACCTTATCTATCGAGAGAGCACGACGATTGTCAACAAGTTTCTCTCTCTGTACCCCAAAAGTTTTGCCAAAGTCCAGGCCGAGAGAAAATTTCAATACAAATTACAAAAACCAAATACAAAAGTATTATAATACCTAAACAAATACAAAAGAATACAATGTTCAAAAACTTACTTCAAATTGATAAATCACAAAACCAAAGTACACGACTTACTACAAAGCCTCAACAAATTTGAAATTAACGAAAAAACAACGCCCACCCCCACAATTTATGCGCAGAAGGAAGAAAAAAGAAAAGTAAAGGAGCAAGAAAGCAGTTGCCATCATTAGTAGAAATGCTTAACCGGGGCAACTCGGCTAAGACTTGATCATGCCCTATTAAAAGAAAACGAAACTAACAATTTTTAATCATTTGTTAAAATTTTAAATTCAATATTGCAGAAATTAAAAGAAAAACCATTATTTTCCAATTTTTTTAAAAAAATTACTTGTTGCCTCTTGAAAGCTCTCAACATTATTGCAAATTTTATTAATTCTAGACAATTGAGAAAAAACTAAATTTTTGAAAATTTTACTGCACAAATTAGTATCAAAATTACAGAAAAAAAAAATAACCTTAAACTTAAAAGCCCTCCTTTTATCGGTATTGGAAATGGAAAGATCAGTTGTTAAGGTAAACAAAGCCAGGTTTCAACAACCAATCAGACTCGAGATACCCACACTACGTCACTTGCAGGTATCCCATTGTTTTAAGATGTTTCTTTCTTACTCAGTCGTCAGAGGGGGTGAGAACTAAAGTGACTGGTTTTTCAATTTTTTTCCAAAGCGAAATGTAATTAATGCTTACCAAAAGTTGCGAATTCATATTGATATTATGGACATTATTTTTGTTTTTTTAATCAAATAATATCTTTTGTGAGAAGCATTGTCTCAAAATTTATAAAACTTGAATAAAAACGCCTAAATTGTCACAATTTTAAATATTTTGTAAAACGGTTATAAATTTGTTCAGGGTGCGTAGCCAAATTATTCAACAAAAAATAAGCACCATTTAAGCACTTTTCAAGCAGTCAAAAAATATTTTTAAGCACCTTAAAAAAAATATAATTAGGCAGGGTTGGAAAGTTTTTCGACAATCGACTGTTTTATCTTGTTTTAACCGTCATGTAATAAAAAAAAAACCTTTGGCATTGTTTTTAACAATTGTCAAAAATTATGAAATTTTGAATCATGTAAAACGAATGGCGTTTTCATATGCTACGGACTGACTATACGCCGAATTAGATTGGGGTTGAATTAATTATGAAAACGTTGAATAAAACAATGTGTGTCTTTTTCCGAATCGAAAATCAACATAAAGGAAAAATCTCACTTTGAAAAAGGAAAAATTAAGCACTTTTTAAAAACACTCAATGAAAAAAAGCACCGTTAATGGCTTTTAAAAAACGAAAATCAAAAATAAGCACCTTTAAGCACTTTTTAAAAACGCAACGCACCCTGTTGTTTCAAGAAATGTAATTTATGATAAAAACGCACTTTTTAAATTGAAACAGAAACATTCTCTATCTCACTCCATCTGACAAGAAGAGACGTGTTAACTAGTTCGTTGTCGATTCACTCGATATCACGTGACAAAAAAATTCTTCCGGGCAGCTTGTGTCAGAAAAACGGATCAAGTTGAATACTATCATCCAACTATTTTTGCAGAAAATATGCTTCCTTATGATTATAAAATATTATTTATTAAATTAAGCTTATTGTAAAATTAAAAACTAAAACGATTGCTAAAAGAAAATAATATTTAACTGATTTTATCTTTAACCTCTTAACGCACAGATTTCAGTAGACAACAAATTTTTTTTCTGCAGTATCTTAAACTTGCTCTGTAATATTTTATTTCGCAGAACTTCATCGAATTTCCTGCAGCGTGCTCTGCAGTAACACAGCTTTTTATTGAATTAAAAAAAATTCTACTTTCGAAGTTTGTTCTTCGTTCAGTGAGCTATTATCCGATATTCAACGAAAACCCCAGACAACAGCTGCTGTCTTAAGTTAGGCGACAANCTAACGTTAAAATGTCATCAGTGATAGACGGATCATGGGTTAGAGTTCCCTTGCCGTCGGACTAACCGTGGGAGGTTTTCCTCTCCCTGTAACGCAAATGCGGGTTAGTTCCATCAAAAAGTCCTCATGAAGGTAGATTTCTCCCAATACTTGATCCAGGAGTTACCTTGTCTTTTGGACTGGGTTCAAAATTACAAGGCTAAGGACTTGAATATTGGTAGTCGTAAACCCGAAAATTGGGTTCGATGACGGTTATAAAATTAAAATAAAATACTTGACTCAGAAGTTCCCTTGTCTACGGTTTCGGTTCTAAATCACTAAGTTAAGGAGTTGCAGTTGATGGCTTAGACCCAAAAATGGGTCGGCTGTTCTGGTTATAATCTGATGATGATTATATATTCTGCTTGACTAAAACTTTCGTAAGGTTATCGTCATTTAGAATGAAAAGGATGCAGCGAGTAATACTGAATTATTTTGAAAGTTCTTAAAACATTTCATCCCTTCCCATCTTTAAAGAAGTGCAATAAACTTCTACTGATGGAGATAAAAACTAAAACCGAAGACTAGGTAAGGCGTGACAATAGATAAAAAATACGATCAACAAATGCGATCCACATTTTTCTGCAAAATCGTAAAAGAATGACACAATCCATGACGTGATTTTTACTTATGTTTATTTGAAAGCACTTTTCCGAAATTGTAATTTTCCACTTCATGTTAGGATATCCAGTTAGGGGAGGTTGAACTAAATGGTTGCAGTTAAGCCATTTTTATGACTGGTGCCCTGACCCAGACAGTGGAATGGGGATTTTTTGTAACTAAGTGCGGCGACACAAGAACCATTACACTCATTCTTAAGTTGATGATCTATATACCAGCGGTTCCCCTATTTTTTTTTTGGTTTTAGAAACCATTTTTCAGCGGAACTCCAACTTTATAAATAAAGTTAACTAAAAGCACAACTTTGTCAATAAAAGCAATTGTGCATAGATTAATTAAAAGTAGGACTACTAATTATTTTGAAAACATTTAATAGAAAGATTAAAGAAAAATTTCATCATAATCGATCGACCATTTTTCAGCCACTTTATAAATAAAGATCACTAAAAACACAACTTTGTTAATAAAAGCAATAGTGCACATATTAATTAAAAGTAGGATTACTTTTTGTTTAGAAAACATTTAACAGAAAGAATAAAGAAAATTCCATCGTTCATTTCATCCTAATTGAACGATCATTTTTCAGCGAAACCCCAACTTCATAAATAAAGTTAATTAAAAACACAACTTCGTAAATAAAAGCAATTGTGCAAAGATTAATTAAAAGTAGGACTACTAATTATTTTGAAAAAATTTAATAGAAAGATTAAAGAAAAATTTTATCCTAATTGATCGACCATTTTTCAGCGGAACCCCCACTTTATAAATAAAGTTGACTAAAAACACAACTTTAATAAAAGCATTTGTGCACACATTAATTAAAAGTAGGACTACTAATTATTTTGAAAACATTTAACAGAAAGAATGAAGAAAATTTTTCATCGTTTTTCCATAATAGTCCTAAAGTTTGGCAGTTGAACTTTTAAATCAGGAGGAGCATATAGTGAAATTTCTTTTAAAATTCTTTTTGGTGTATGCTTAAGTTGGAAATAAGTAAAATAATTGAAATTATGGTTTTCGTTAAAATGAAAATAAAAATGAACTGTTATAAATGTTGACAATGGTTATTAGGGAATGTTGAATTTATTTATTTTATTTTGAAAAATTAAATGCGTAATATTAATGCTAGTTTTATAAATGAATATTTTTTTCATACTTAATTCAATATATTGTTAAGAGAGAAAAAAAGTTTTTTTTTTAAATATTGTCCTTTTAATTTAAATATTAAATAATACAAAGATTATTAATTGAATCTAAATAAAATTATAAGTTTTAAAAACATCACTGTCCTATCACAGAACTTAATTAAATTTTTAAACTATACTTACTTCTGAATTTAAAATTTTTAACTTAATGTTATACTGCCAATATCTTTTTTTTTCTCGTCAACGCTTTGCATACTAGATTTTTTTTTCTTTTAAAGAAATTAAAACTTAGTCAACTTAGACAAAGATTTCGATTTTTACTACGGGAAAGCGTTTCAATAGAATATCTTTAACGGTTAATACAAATTAATATTTCAATGTATTTATAATCAGAATAAAATAAACCTCTATTTTTGATACAAGCATAGTCA